ACATTCAATGAGTAATATATATATTTTGGCTCCTCTTTTCTGTTGGCCATTTGGGGAGCTGGCACGTACTAATAATAATAGGGTGGAATATATTGATTTTGTGTGCAGGCTGTTTTTAAGGAGCAGGTTAGCTTGCATGTATGTAAAACATATGGGTAGTTCAATAGAGTTTTTATATATTTAAAACTTTGTTAAATATCGTTTGGAAAGTTGTGAAGAGGCTAGACTTTGTGGAGTGTATAAACACACACAAAATATAGTTTGTGAGGTGCATTCAGAGTCTTTGGCACTAAATATAACATTAGTGTGGTTTATTTTTCCAACCTATTTGACTGCTAGTTGCAAAAGGCTGATGAAATGTGAAAAATCTAAGATGAGGAAGCCTCGGGAATCCTGGAACAAGCTGACTTTCTGATTAGACAGTACTTGTGACCCTGCTTTGATTCCCAGGGATCACGCTTCTATACGACAGTAATGTGATAAATGAAAGCTCTGAATGTTTACAAGCTAACAATTAGGCCTCGTAAGTACCAAATACCATTTTAATTCTGTGCATTGAACCTTAGCTAAATAAATTTCCAATTGGGGATGGATGGCAACAGCTTCCTTTGCCGGCCTAATAATTGTCACTGTAATTGTAAAAGCCGAGTCTTTGCAGTCGGTTTGAATAGGAGGCAGCGGCTGCATTCTCAGGTGATGAATTCATTGCTCTGAGTGCTGCTGTGCTCATTCCCGTGTTTCAGAATTTCCTTAATTCTGGTGCTTTTGTAGCATTTGGAGAACACAAAAAGTCTTAGGTTGTGATGAAAACTGGGCCACCTCTAAATCCTTAGATTGTGGAAACAGGTCTATGCAGCTTAGCTTTGAAATGAATTGACTAGAGGAGATTTATCTTACTACAAATACCAGGACACACCTGCAGCTACATGAGAGCCAGTCACCTGGCCTTCCTCTCGGAGCTGGGAATCTGTCATATAAATGACTTTGTGGAGGCGGAGGTGAAAAGAGATGAAACATCCATGTCATTCACTTTGACTTGTTAAAACTTATTATCTATTCAGAAACACGGAGGCCTTAAAGTCAGAGGGACCCATGGGGTTGGGGTTTATAATAAACAGCATCCTGTATGTACCATACACTCTAATCCAAGACAAAAGGGCAAAGTGCTCCAGTCATAAGCAAAATATATAATGAGAAAGGAGGAAAAGAAATGTGCCATGAGAAAAGTACTTTGTGTCCAAATGGGAATGTCGGTCATAACTCACGTTTATATTGAGCCTTCTTTTGTGTTGCCATCCGAGTGCTAAAAGGCTTTTGTTTGGACATGAATTTTTTACACTTCATCTGCCACTAATTAAAAATAATAATAAAAATGTTAATAGTGCAGTTGCGCTACCTTCTCACATTCCCCTCCGTCGGATGTGACCTTTTAACAGCTGCGAATAGGTGAGATATCACCCCCAGAGTAAACTAGTACCATACCCACATCGGTTCCTAATGCAGATGGGATGGAGGTGGAATAGTCATTTAGAATACTTAAAATGCAGATGTTTCAAGTTATCTCTAATTCTCAACCCCAAATTCCTCTCCTGGCTGTTGGGTGACATTCACCACCATAGCTGTGGTGTTTTATTAAGCGGCATGTGTGACATTTTATTTAAATTATGTTTAGTTTTTTTATTCTGATGTAAATATAATAAGCCTGTATAAAGATCTAAGTGCCTTGACATCTAAAATTTGCATATATGCAAATTCACTCACACACACACACACACACACACACACACACACACACACTCATACCTATATTTCTATATGTATGAGCTACTTTGTGTATGTGTAAATTATTTGAAGACTTCCAAATCCTCCTGCCCCAAGCAGCGGCAGGGCTAGGATGTGCAGCTGCCGAGAACTTGGCCTCTGTCATTGAGCTCGATGAGATGAGAGGGAGTCTGGAGGCCTGCTAGTGTACATGAACGGGTGAGTGCTGGCAGGTGTCTGAGATGTGCAGATGAGTGGGAACTGGATGGTGCTTGTGACTGGTGGTTGGTTGAGTGCTGAAAAGTGTCTAAGGGTGCTGGATAGATGGGGGAGTAGAGGGAGTCTGGAATTGCTAACGGGTGTCTGAGGGGCTGGCGGGAGCTCGGTGTAAAACTGGTGACCTAGGGTAGGTCTACACTTACAGTGGTGTGTACAGTACAGACACTGCGTGCCCAGCTAGCACAGGTATAAATAGCAGTGTGTACAGCAAGGCACATGTCTAAAGCCTAGGATATATACCCTGCATGGCTCTCTTCATGCCCATGCAGTGCCTCCTAGATGTTGTTGAGGATTGCAAAATGACTCCGCTTCCGGGAGGTCTTCGTGCCTTGAACATTGTTGATAAAGAACGCAGTGGCTTGGCTTGAACGGATTGCATATGCTAAATATAGGGCCTCCTCTTTTGTCTACACTGCTATTTCTGCAGTGAAAGACTCCAGAAGTGGAGAAAGGCTCCGGCCAGGGGGAAGCAGCGAGTAAAGGCCTTCCGCTGCGGTGGGTAGCTCCACACCGCAGTGCATGTGGACGCAGCCTGCTTTTCACTGTGGCATGTGTTACACGCCGCTACCTGTGTAGCCAAGAGTAGGCAAGGTCTTAGTGAGGGTGCTGGTAGGAAGGCTGTTGTCTGGAGGGCTGTTTGTGGGGAGCTGGGAAGTAAACTGGGACTGAAAGGCTTTGTGAGGTTTATTTTGAATGTGTAAGTGGCACTTGTGGTGTATGGGACTTTTGCTGGCGCTCTGCACGGGGCTGAATGTCATTCATAGAATCATAGAATATCAGGGTTGGGAGGGACCTCAGGAGGTCATCTAATCCAACCCCCTGCTCAAAGCAGGACCAATTCCCAACTAAATCATCCCAGCCAGGGCTTTGTCAAGCCTGACCTTAAAAACCTCTAAGAAAGGAGATTCCACCACCACCCTGGTAACCCATTCCAGTGCTTCACCACCCTCCTAATGAAAAAGTTTTTCCTAATATCCAACCTAAACCTCCCGCACTGCAACTTGAGACCATTACTCGTTCACTTACGATCAATCATAGTGCTCTTAGGACTTGGGTGAAATAGCAGCAAGTAACAACCCCTTAGACTTCAGTGAGGTTACTCCTGACTAGCCCCATAGTAAGAGGAGAACAGGGGTGTATCAGACCAACATCTCATGTTTTTATATGTGACTTGACTCTTTAGCACCATCCTTGCCCTGAGATTGTTAATGCTCCAGGTCTGAACTATGGGGTTCAGAGACAGAAGTTTGGGTGGCAGAGCGGCGGGAGTGGATCTGAGCTCATCGCTACTCTTAGGGTGGCACTCTGTGTAAATACTGGTGTCAATATAAAAAGCGCTTGTGCTGTTATGTAACACACCATTGGGGACAGTGATCAGTGATGCGCTTCCTCCATGGGACAAAGACACTAAATAATGTTCCTTGTTCACTGCCGCTGCAGGTGGCGTAAGGATGTCTGCTGGGACTCAGCTGATGTATGAAGTTACATAATGTTTTCAAGTAGGAGACTCACAAATGTCCTTACAGGAGGTACAGTGACACTTAGCAACCAAAACACTTGAGTTCCCGTCGCAGCGCAGACAAACCAACAACTAATGAGCAAAGAAAGTTACTCTGTATTCAGAGCGCTTTGTTTGACTTCCAGCTTTAAAAAAAAAGCAATGCAGACCAAATCCTGTGCTCCTAAAGTCACTCGGGAAAGGCTTAACTGGTCTATGCCAAACTCACAAAAACTGTCCTGAATTTATTCTCTTTTCCCCTCTCTTTTCACAACAAGGTAATTAATTACCAGGGCATTGTGCCCAGCTCTCCAAGTGTGAATAATTCCATGACTGAGAGTGTGACATGACTGTGGGCCAGACTCTCCTTGTCACCCAGGGGATGGGAAGACCATAATGTACTTAGACCTTGACTCCAGAGACCCCTGTCTGAGGCCCAGAATGTAGAGAAGATGGCCAGTTACCACTTTTGCTCACTTTCATTTATTCTAAATATTTAAGTTGGTTAAAAATAATCCCATCCTTAAAGATGAGGGGCCAACTCCATCCCTTAGGTGTAAGCATCCACCACCCCACTGACTTCAGTGAAATGGCAGCCACTTGCCCCGGGGTCGAATTTGGCCCATTCATGTTTGGTGTCCCATGGAACATACGTGAATTTGGGCCTGCCGGTGTGAAGTAGCAGGGGAAGACGCATTTGGGGGTGAGCGATTTGTTCTGTCATTGTTAGGGGCTCAGATATCATGGTGATGGGCATGGCCTTAGCAACTACTCCATGGCCTCTCTCAGGCTTCTGCTCTGGTGGATAGTGCTGCTAGGACACTTTTCCCTGGTTTTGGATCTTTGAGGGTGGGGGACGTTGTGTCATTATATTCTCTAGTTGCCGTCATGCTTTAGTGGGCCGTGGTGGGATGGCTTAAGCCCCATTTATCATTGGTTATTTTTGCTGGGGGGGAGAGGGGGCAGGATTCTTACTCCTTCTTTTCCTTGTCTGCTTCCATGACCCCATCGCTGTAGTATCTCCTCAGTGGGCCCAAGAGCTCGAGGGAATTGTGCCACTTTCGTTTCCCATTGCTCTCTACTCCCAGCTTACACTTGGGAAAATCCTGCTTTAGGAAGCTCTTCTCCTCAGGGTATAGTCCCCTTGCTACCTCCCTGCTTTTAGCTCATTTTCTGGCAGAGGGAACTGCTTGGGCAATGTCATGATGGAAGGGGCTGGTGGTGTGTGGTCCCTCTTTGTCATGCTGCTTATTGAGTTATTGAGCCAAACCTGCACTCCTTTAATGCAAGCAAAACTCCCAGTGGAGTCAGTGGCGGTCCTGGGAGTCAGGTAAATCGGCAGGAGCTTTGCCGCAGTAGAATCTGTGTAAGGGCTTCAGGATCTGGCCTGTTCTTCGTAGAGCAGCACGTAGATCCCCCTCCTCTGTTCATGGTACTGATCACACTCCGTCCTCCTTTTCAGGTACGACAGCTTTGGCCGCCTGACCAACGTCACCTTCCCTACAGGCCAAGTCAGCAGCTTCCGCAGCGATACCGACAGCTCAGTGCACGTCCAGGTAGAAACCTCCAGCAAGGACGACGTTACCATAACAACCAATCTGTCAGCATCAGGCGCCTTCTACACCCTCCTGCAAGGTGAGCCCGGTGACTGCCCCTACCCCACGTTCAACTGCACGCCAAGGATTACACAGCAGGAAACAGACATCTTAATTATCCCAGCACCAGAAAAACCTTCCACCCAGCGCCCTGCAACATGCTGGTGCACTCCCACTCGCACCCACTTACCAAAGCAATAGGAAACACAACAGGGCTCGCTGTCAGTTCTGCAGCTGTTTTCCATTTGGTTCTCAGTTGGTTTCTTAGCTGTACAATGCTATACTCCCTCGTCATTACCATCATTATTCAAACCCACAGGCTAGCTAAACCTGACTGCTCCTCCGGTAGACCCTGTTACTTCACTATTTTAATGGCTTCCCGCTTAAAGAGTCACTGTGTCCCCCACCAGAGATGGTTTCAATTAAGGAAGCTGTGTATTGGGGATCGTCATTCTTTGTGCAGTGTGCGCTGAGCACCCTCCAGGGAAACGACCAGTACACGGTCCCTGCCCCCAAGTGTCTGGGCAAGAAGTGAAGGGGGGCAGCAGGAAGGAGGAGTGAGTGATGAGGGGATGTGTGCAAGGTGGTAAGTTAGCACAGTCATTGCTGCATGTGTTGGGCCAGATCCGCAGCTGGTGTAAATCGGCACAGCTCTGCTGACTTTGCCCGGAGGGACAGGTAGGGAGGGGGAAGGTTAGGGAAGTAGGAGGGGGAAGAAAGAGGTGGGAAGGCAAGAGAGTAGAGAGAGTAGCAGGAAGGCTGAGGTGGGGCACTGTGGTGGGAGCAGAAGTTACACTCCAGAAATGCTTGTAGATGGCAAGAGTTTTCTTAGGATTGAGAATCTGAAGCTTAGCCCTGCTCCCTGGGGGTCGGGCTGTGCTCAGTCTCTGTCCCTCGGGTGAAGGGCCAGCAGGCTCTGTCTCACCCCTTCTCTGCTAACGCCTGCCCTGTGCCCAATGAAGATGCTTGTGGTCAAATACCAGTTTTCACCTTTGTATGGAAAGAAATGTCTCCGTCAGACCCAGTCAGCCCAGGAGTCACATTTATGCTGGTTCCTTAAAAACCAGATCCCTGGGTAGTTAATTTCCTCTTTTTTTCTACAGTTAAAGATAATCTCCTGCATAGGAAACTGCTTCCTATGTCTGTGAGCACCTTCCCTGGCCCCTGAGAAAGCAGTCTGGGGCCCAGGCCTTGTCAGGCTGTACCTTACATTGCCCTAGGGCATAGCTGGTGTGCGGTGACTTTTCCTTGTGCACTACAGAACACACACCAACTGGAACCCTAAGTAGCCTGGCCAAAAATCCACGCATTAAGATGTCTGGCAAATACTCAGACGTGAGGTTGGCTTCACCTCAGGAGCCTAATTAAGCAATAGAACCCGCTGTTGGGGGCTCTTTAGTGAGATAATTGACTGTGATGTGATTTATGCCTCCCGAGCCAAAGGCCAATAAATTGCCCAATAAATCTCATTGTGGCATCCCCCAACAACACGGGACAAGGCAGGACAACAGGCCATTTTTAATAGTTTGAAATGACAGACGGTGTTTTTAGTTCACAGAACGGATTGAGCGGGGAAATGAGCTTTTCCCACATGAAGTGAACTTTCTGGTACGTTAGCTTTCTTGCAGAGTCTGAAAGGTGTGTGCAGTCCCATCAGGAACAAATCCCAATTAGCCATGTTTGCAAGGACCACCTACAGAGCAAGTCTAGGCCAGGGCACAGTTGGGCAGCCTACTTTAAAAGATGCAACAATACTTTTCCCTTGCTCAGCCAGAACTGACTTTCTGCCAGGGGACAGAAAAGAGGCTTCAGGAAGAAATTGTTAGAGAGAACTAGTCTGCATGTTAGGGTGACCAGACAGCACGTGTGAAAAATCGGGACAGCGGGTGGGGGGTAATAGGAGCCTATATAAGAAAAGGACCCAAAAATCGGGACTGTCCCTATAAAATCGGGACACCTGGTCACCCTACTGCATGTTGGCCCATAAACTGGGCCGGCTCCAGGCACCAGCTTACCAAGCAGGTGCTTGGGGTGGCCACTTCAGAGAGGGGCAGCACGTCCAGCTGTTCGGCGGCAATTTAGTGGACGGTCCCTCACTCCTGCTCGGAGCGAAGGACCTTCCGCCGAATTGCCGCCGCAGATCGCGATCGCGGCTTTTTTTTTTTGTTTGGTTGGCTGCTTGGGGCAGCCAAAACCCTGGAGCTGGCCCTGCCCATAAACCAAGCGCGTTAGCCTGCCAGATGCCTAACACACTCAGCTAACTCAGAGGTGGTGTTACGCCTTCAGCCTAGGGGGCTCCCAGGTAGAGAGCACAAAAAATTCCAAAACAGCTAGTGCACGGAGGGGGAACCACACGTTCCAAGGCAGCGGGACAGAGATAGAGGGAGCAGCACAGGGGTGGCCGAACAGAGGGTTCTGGAGTCTGCCGTGTGCAGATCAACCAGCGCTTTGCTGAAGGGCAGCAGGAGGTTACTGGCTT